TGTTGGAGTAAATTTAATTCCTGTTTCAACAACAACAACTGTTTTCCTTTACGTACGAAACGCGTAGGACTGGTACAGTTTTGTTTTGGAGAAGCGTGTGGAAGAATATTTTCTACCTTTTTGTTTTGATTTTTATTTTCTGAGTTTTATCACATGCCTTTGAACTGCTGGTCAAGGATCCAAGTACGCGTCATTTCTTTTGCATTTATTGGATTGTAACTTTGAAAAACTATGTACTTCCGTGCAATATGATTGCCAAAAATACTGGTAGAGGTTGCGCCCCAAGAAACCACAAACAATTGACTCATTCATTCCCATCACTCAGTATGATCGTCACCTAGTGGTGCTGCCTCTGCTTGATTGCTCAAGTTCCTTTTTTCGTTTCCTTCCATCGTTTCCTTTTTTGTGTCTTGGGCCATTGTTTGTCCCGAGCTTTTTTGGGGCACCACAGCTCCTCCTGCGATGGACAAAGAAGGATTGCAGTATTGGCGACAATCCAAAGTACCACTCCAAGAAATATTTTGTCGCCTCTATTGATATCGTAATCTTAAGCGGGAATAGTATTTGGAAGAGAAAAAAAGGCTGCTTCGGCTGATTGGTGGGATGACGGTGATATATGTGCATTCGAAAAGGAGCATATGGTGTTGATCGTTGTCATGAGGATGATGATGATGATGATAATGTCGTTTGCTGGGCGTATGTGATGATGATCATCCATGCATTGAGTAAATATATATACAGCAGCATGGTGACGAATGGCATTTAGATGAATTCATCGCCTCCATTCATCGCCTCCATATTCCTCCCACTTTCAACTCGTGATTGCAAAAGTGACTCATTGGCTGAATGTTGCTGGAATCAATTCATATATATGAATATACAAATGGTATGAATATACGAGTGGAATCCTTACTTACTTCTGTCGCATTGCGGTTCGTGAATCGGATGGCTGGTTGCTGCATGCTGCATCCACCCATCAAACTACCGTAGTACCGTAGTGATGAAGAATATGGGATCGCTGAAGAGGAGTATCTTCAAAATCAGATAATTGATTGATTGATTGATTGATTGATTTAGTTTATCGTCCTGGTACTGGTACTGGTACTGCACCCTGTATACAACGTCAATTGTTGATGAACTGCTTAGCTCTGCGTGCGTGGTTCATACTCGTAACTCCAATGTTCCAAATGCTGCATGCTGTATTTGATTGCACGCGCGTGCCCGTCATCAAAGTCATTCTGGCACCTGACTGTAGGGTTTGCGTAGTGCATGGTACACGTGTACATGCCAGAGTCATTGTTTGATTGTCGATCGTCAATCATTTACAGGTATCCTCATCATCATCACTGACTCACTCATTACACAGCAGTACAGTACAGTATATTACACAATAAAAGTACCGGGTACAATGGATGAGAAAGAAGAAATGCCAC